TCTACCACATCCTGTCGCCAACACTGAGCCTGGTACTAACTGAGGGCCCAGAAAGTTTTCCCTGTGCTTGTCCTCTCAGAGCCACCCAGATGCTAGAGTTTGGCTGCCAGCAAAGACAGGTGGAGCTGACTGAAGACAGAGTTGGGAACCTCAGTTCCCACAGGCCCTCCAAGAAGGCCAAGAAGCAATGGAGAGTCCCAAGTCCCAGAGTGGGGACTCATGAGGAAGAGGCCCTAGAGCCTGGTAAATTCTGGGTGGCATTCAAGAATCCCACTGTCAGGGAGACCCCGTGCCTACAAATGCTATTCACTCATTCCCAAATGAATGGTGGCAGCATGCTCATAAGAAGATAATAACAGATGCCATCATCCACTTGACAAACACTATCTCTGATCTTCACCATCACATTGCCAGGAAGAGGTATTTAGTGTCACTTTACAGAAGAGGAGACTGAGGGTCAGAGAGAGGACACAACTCCCCTAAGCAAGGTTGCAGTGCAACATAGCAGGATGCAAATCTGGCTCCATCTGCTCCAGAGCCCAGGCTATGGCCCCACTTCATGCCAACTATGATGCTCCTCAGACAGGAGCGTCCTTGCTGTGCCTGCCCCTCAAGACCTGGGATGAAGCTTCTGTACCAATCCTTGGGGGCACCAGCAAGAGGCAGGTAGGCCCCCAACCCATTCTACAGGTGAGGAAACTGAGGCTTTTCATCTGTAAGCTAAGCCACACACAGGGGACATAAGTCATTTGCAGAGACTACCCTCAACTTAATGTGTCCAATTCATACATCTGGGATTTGGAGTAGGCTGAAGCTTCTAACTTTTTGCCGTCATTCTCTCTCAGAGCCCACCTTGGTCCATGGCCCCCTTGTACCACTTCTGCTTCTTGCCTCTCTGGCATCCCAATAGCTGTCAGAGCCTCAAGGAGTCTCCTGGGCCAAAAGCAGTTAATAGTTGCCACCATTGGCTCGGTGAACAAGAGGATGCAAAGCCCCTTGTCTAATGAAGGAAGCCTTTGGGTAGAGCAGGTATGGCTGGGAGGGTCAACCTGGTGGTCCCAGTCCAGCCAAGGCCCAAGCAGGGGTCATCTCTGAGTGAGGCATAAAGCCCCTCTCCCACTGGGCCTTTTAGTAACAGCCGGCTGGCTGGCATGAGCAGGAGGTGACTCAGCACCCAGTGCCCAATGACTCACCCACCGGAAGCTTCCTACTACCCCAGCCCAGCCTCTCCCCACAGGCAGCTGAGAACTTTGCTCCCTTCAAACCCAAGCTTAGGCTGGATGATAAAGTTTCCTGTGCGTCATGCCAAGGGTGGGGGAAGTCCCTACAGTGCCACCCTCTCATCCATAGGGGCAGCAGCTAGTGGCCACAGCAAGCAGGGTGTTTCCTGCAGCCTTACATCCCCATTAGGAATCTGGGGCAGTCTAGTTCCACCATGCTCTTTGTGGATTTTAACACAGAAGTGTCCACCACCCCCATGGCAGCACTCAGGGGTCAGGGCTCAGAGTCCTGTGCTTTGAACAGGTTAGGTCACATAGGTGCCTGAACAGGGTATGGAACAGCAGACAGGGCAGCACTACCAAATGTGCCCCTGTCCATTGCCCCGAGAGCCAGCAGCTAGAAAGAGCAATATATGTGTGAGGAAGTGCGAGAACAATAGGATTTAGGGGCAGGAGCCTTCTGCACTTGTGGGAAACCTTCCATCTGCAGGGCACTGAGAGAATCTCTGTGGCAGAGAGTGCATGATGGGTACTCATTGCCAAAAAGGGAGCTCAAAGGTAAAGCTTCTTCAAGGTCAAGTGCCAACCTCTCCTTGCTTTGTCCCAACTCCTCTGAGAAAATCAAGAAGAGCTTGGTGCTAGGGACTCTGTGCCCAGGATGCAGAGGGCACTGTGTCAGGACCCCAGCTCTGTAGGTTCAGTCCAGCAGCTCCCCCATCTGGCCTCAGTTTTGTCATCTGTCAAATGAGTCAGAATGCAGTAAGTATGCCATGTGCCAAGTGTAAAGGGCTATGCATACACACAAAGGCACGGCCTCTGCGTCACTCTATCACCCAGGTCAGTGACTGGTCAGAAGGAAATGCCCTCTGGTTTAGGGCTTAGGCATCCAGCATAAGAATGGGGTGTGAGGGTGAATGGAGGAGACCATGCAGGAGATACAGAGTCCTAGATAGAATCCTGGCTCTAACTATATTGGCTGTAGGATTTCAGGCCAGGCACTTAATGCCTCCAAACCTCAGTGCCCTCATCTGTAAAATGGGGCCAGGGGGTGGAGTGAGAAGCATAAATGTGAGCATTCTTACAATTTTTGGTGAGGGGGCACCACACCCTGTCCCAACTCCAAAGGGGCTGACAGGGGCAAGTCTCTGACCTTTCGTTCAACTTTCCCTGACCTTTCATCCAATTTACCCACATTGCCTGTTCCCTGGATCCACAGATCAGCCAACATCCCAAGCTAGAAATTCACCCTAGTCTTCTCCCTGCAGAAGCCCAGAGAGAGCAGCACCAGGCCTCAAGTCACACAGCACCAAGACCCAGTAGAGTCCCCAAGGGCCTTTGCCCACTGCCCATGGCCCCTTTCCCTTCATAACATCCCTACCTAGAATAGCTGAAAGTGCCTCAAAACACACATTGTTTCCAAGCCTTTCCTCCCACCCAGGGACGTACAGGGAGGCCAAGGGGCTGCTAGAAGAAACTCAGTGTACCATGACAAAGCTAGTCCAGACTATGCTTCAGTATGAGGAATGTCTTGCTGACCAGCTCCCAAGCTCCATGTGGTCTGTGCAGAGCATGGCCCTCCCCTGCCACCTCCCCTAGTGAATGCCTCCCAAGTTACTCATGGCAGTTGGGCAATGGTCAGGGATCCAGCCTCCCACTTATGTAAGACATAATTACCTTGCCCACCCAGCAGGGCTCTCAGGATTTGGCAGGGCCACACCCACCCCAAGACCCTACATAGCCTCCCTCCGGCTCTGATTAGGGACCCATTAGGGTCACTATGAGTCAGTTTCAACTTGACGGTACATAAAAAGAACAACAAAGTGCTCCTATAGAAGCCCTGAGAAGCTCTGGTAGCATAGTGCCTAAGGCATTTGACTGCTAACCAGAAGACTGGAGGTTCAAATCCACCAACCACTCCTCGGAAAGAAGGTTGGGCAATCTACTTCCGTAGTGATACTGCCTTGGAAACCCAAGGATGAGTCGCTATGAGTCGGGGCCAACTTGACGGCACATAACAACAACAACATAGAAGCCCTGATAGCGCAATAGTTAAAGCACTCAGGTGCTACCAAAAGGTTGACAGCTTGCACCCAGCAGCTGCTGCACAGGAGAAAGACATGGCAGTATGCTTCCATAAATATTCATAGCCTTGCTGTACACCCTATGAAGCAGTTCTACTCTGTCCAATAGTCATTATGAGTTGGAATTAAGGGCAGTGGGTTTTTCAGTATTCCTGTGACCTGCTTCAGGAGCTCTGATGGTGTAGTGGGTAATGCATATGCCTGCTAACCAAAAGGTCAGTAGTTCAAATCCACCAGCTGCTCCTTGGAAGAAAGATGAAGCAGTCTGCTTCTGTAAAGATTTACGTGCTGGAAACCCAATGAGGGTCACTATCAGTTGGAAATCAACTGGATGGCAGTTGAGTTAGGTTTAGAGTTTGATGACCTGCTTTACTCCGAAGCTGCAACTCAAACAGAGGCACGACCTTGAGCCTACATGGCTGAGGCCTTTCTAAAAATAAAAACTGTAACAATCAAAGTAAGAACAGCTCCATGCTTTTCTGAACACCTACTATGTACTAGGCACTACACTGAGCTCTTCACAATCTCTTTACACACACTGTAATATTCATTCTCTCTCCTTACACTCCTGATGTCCACAGAAGGAAGGTGTGATTACTCCCGTTTTGACTGAGGCCCAGGGGCACTAAAGAAACTGCTGGGGCAAGACAGCCCATTCATTACAACTATGTCCGGTTTGGAAATCTCTCACATCACACAGCCCAGCCTGCTGAGATTCTGACATGCCAAAAACATCCTTTCCTCTTCCTGCAAAAAATCCCCTTTTTGCCCTCCAGGCCCATCCTCCCCCTCTGCATGACAAATCCTGCTGCGGTGGGCCACCACCTCACAAAAATTTCCAGGAAGGTCTAAGACTGGGAAAAGACAGAGCAATCCCCTTGAGAGGTAAGCACCCTGAGCTGGCAGCTGCCCAGGACCCAGGGCTGCCAGGCAGAACAGGCTTGGCAGCAACCAGCCTGGTGCCTGGCAGTGAGGCCAAGCCCCAGGCCATGGGTGCAGTATGGAGTTGGGTACAGGAAGGTAACAAAAGGGGCCGAGAAGTAAGGGCTGCACATCAGAGAGGGTGGAGGTCTGAGGGCAGCCACAGATTAATAAGGAGCCTTGAGCGATTTCAAGGATCAGCGTTGCAGGGTTGGCTGTGGGGAGTGCCAGGGTGTCTAGGGAGAAGCCTTGTGCAGCTAGCTAGGATGGGGCAGTGTGGGGGCCTACAAAGACAGAACAAGCTGAAGTGTAGTCAGGGTACTGTCTGGGGTGGAGGTACAGTGAAGGGAATTCGCTGAGGTACAGATGGAGGAATCAAAGTTAAATTCCAGCCCAGACACTGCCCAGGAATCAGGTGGGAGCAGAGCGAGTCTCACCTACGTCCCGCTGAGGACCCTGCGTGGGAGGTCCTGGCCAGGATGCAATCCTGACACTGGGGATAACAGAGAATTCCCGATTTCCGAAAGGATAAGGAGTCAGAGTGCAGTCCCAACCTCGGTCAGTCCCGGGAGCTCCTGGGCCTGGGTGCAACCCCAAGGCCCACAGTGGGAGTCAGAGGGGGTACAGACCTGGGTCGGATCCCGGACTGGACAGGGTTGAGGGCCCTGGGCGCCTCCAAGGTCCGGATGGGCAGGCCCCCACGGAGGCCAGGGTTGCAGGCAGGCCCGAGCCCGGCCTGGAGGAGAGGGTCTGATCGCCGGTCCCAACTGCCTCCTACCTTTGGACGGGGGTACGCTGGCGGGCTGACTCGAGGCTGGCGACTCCATGGTGCAGGCGGTCCGGCAGCGCGGAGGTGGGTCCTACTCGAGGGGGCAGCGGGCTTGGCCGGGGCCGCACGGACTCATGGCTGCTGGCGGGCAGCCCAGAAGCGACCCGACAGCGAGACAGCGGTGGGAAGACGTATCCGCAGTGGGCAGCGAGGTAGCCAGACTAAGCAGAGCCTCGAAGGCAGAGGTGGACTGCGCGGCGACGCAAGCCCCGCCCCACGCGCCGATTGGTCTTCTGTCTCCAGAATACATTCTGCAGCCTATCAGATACCAGATCTGCCCCTGCCAGTCAAACAAAGGACCTCGCCCTTCCTTTCCTCAGAATCAGATCCCGCCCACTGCCTGTCAAGCCCTCCAGCCACCCGGGAAATTTGGCCCAGCCAGGCTCCGCCTCCTTCCGTCTAAACCGGGCCCCACCCACTGCCTGTTAGTAGCGAAGCCCCGCCCACCTTCCCGGGAACCTCGGAGTCCTGCCCCCGTTCTGTCGTGAGTTAGGCCCCGCCCCGCACGCAGATTGGCCATCAGTCTCCAAGGCGCGCCTTGAGGCCTCTCACAGGCCAGGTCTGCCAGAGCCCGTCAAACAGGAGGCCTACCCCGTTCCAGTCGCCCAGAATCAGGTCTCACCTACTGACTTCAAGCCCACCCACACCCAGGAAACGCGGTCCAATTAGGTTCCTCTCTCTTTCGTCCTGAGCTGGCCACTTCTGCGACCCGTCAAGAGTCAAGTTCCGCCCACCTCCCCAGGAATCTGTCAGCTATTAGGCCCCGCCCCCCAGCCTACCCTTGCGCGACCTGGGGTGTGTCTTCTGGAAAAACCCCGAGACCAGCAGCGTGGTAGGCCAGCCCCGCTGGAGCCCCCCCCCCACCCCCCCCCCCCCCCCGCGGCAGGCGAGTAGGTGTTGTCGAGAAGTTAAAGTGCGGTCTGGTGAAACCTGGGTTCACGTCCCTATTGCACCTGTCCAGCGGAGATTACCTGGGAGGACTTAGTTGACAGCCCTGAGCCTTAGTTTGTCACTCTGTAAAATAGTGATTAGAGCAGCCTGTGCCACCGGGCGCTGTTCGCGAGGACAGGACGGGCGCTTGTATGGACGCTCAGGACATGTTTGTTCAGTGAGTGCGAAGGGCTGCACTCGCGTCCATGCACACACTCTTCCCGCTGGTGCCGGCGTTGGAAATAGGGGCAAAGGGGCATCCACGGTGCCGGCTAAGAAGGCAAGAAAAGTAGCTTTAAAGATTGCTGTCCTCACTGCCCACTCCCCCTCCCCCGTTCAACACGGGAAGTTCGGTAGATCGAACCCACCAGCCGTTCTGCCAGAGAAAGATGTGGTAGCTTGCTTCCTTAAAGAAACCCTATGAGAAGTTAGTTCTACTCTGCCGTGTACAGTTACTATGAGTAGGAGTCAACAGTAATGAGTTTGGTTTTGATTACTCAGTTCAGCTGGCCGTGATCAAGATCTCATTCAGGGACGCCCCTTAGCCTGCTTGCTCATTTTTAAAATGGTTGGTTTACCCTTCTCCCTTCTGCTCCTACTTGGAACCTCGGTATTTCGGGCACCACCAACCAATCTGGCACTGGAATCAAGTGACTTGGGATGGAAAGCCACAGCCTAGAGAGGCAGGGAGGGCCTGCAGAGGTTAAAGGGGTCAGTCCCTGCCCTAGGCAGGCATGGTAGACTTGGCCTGTTGGGACCTCACGTGAGTTGAGCTGGAAAGGCTTCTGTAAAACAGGCGTGACACCACAGGTCCCCACCCACACAGTGGTGGGGAGAGTCAGAAGAGATAAAGGAGGGGTTGTGAAGAAACCTTATAATTATCATTATTCTCTTCCTGCATCTCTAGCTCACCTTTTCCAGGCAGTAGGATGGAAACTCTTGAGCTTTGGACTCAGGCACAGATTCAAATCCCAACTCTGGACCTTGGGCAAATTGCTGAAAATGCCTGTTTACTTACCTGTTTACCTATCTGTCCCACAGGGACAATGAGGCCTCCCTGAACAGATTCCATGAACTAGTGCTTGAAAGTGCCTGGCTCAGGGCCTGGTACACACTACTGGCCCATGAAAGATGAGCTTGTGGACACACTGTTAGCCACAGGAAGTCATTCAGGCCATTCTACTCTGGGTGCTCAAGGGAGAAAGAGGCCCAGAGCACTCTATTTCAAATGGGTCATTTGAGCTAGTCATTTCACCTTAAGATCTGCTATTCATCCTTCTGTGAAATGGGCACCCGGTAGCATCTACCTCCTCCTTACCTCCAAGCCTAGTTGGATGGGTTTTCTTGGTTCAGATGCCTGCCAACTGCTCAAATCTCTACCCTCCCCCAGCCCACTCTGCTCTTTGGTGTGTTGAACATACCAATACAGGTTCTGGTTAAGACCTTTGATTGCTGCTCTCTCTGCCTGGCATATCTTTCCCCTATGCTTCATTCAGGACCTCCCTAGTCATGGTCTGACATGAGTCTTTGTTCTCTTCCCAGCACCAATTCTACCCATGCCAGTTCTCTTTGCTCTGGTTTTTAATCTGGTGCTCTCTCTAGAGTGTCCACCCCTCCTGAGCAGAGATATTGCCCATTTCACTCCCTGCTACATTCCTGGGGCATAATCGAAGCCTGGCACATAGTTTGAGGAATGAGCAAAGAAAGGAAGGAAGACCACAGCCATCCAAGGAGTGACTGAATGCCCACATGGGCCTCCCAGGCACCTCAATGAATCAGACAAGGCCCTTTTGTCCAAGGAGTTTATGAATTAGCCAGGGAGCCTGACAAAAAGCTTTGTTGTGTTTTGCCGTCGAGTCGGCCCCGACTCCTAGCGACCCCTCCTTGGGTTTCCGAGGCAGTATCACTACGGAAGTAGGATTGCCCAACCTTCCTTCAAAACTTCACATGGGGTGCTAAAAATAGATTCATGAACATGAGGCCAAGGAAGGTGCCAGAACTCTACCTGGGGTGAGATCAGAGAAGGCTTCTCAGAGGAGGTGACCATAAGACTCTTAAGGGCTGGTAGGAGCTCACTAGGCAGAGAAAGCAAGAGAGAGCACAGCTTAGAGGAGCAGCAGGGGCAAGGGCTGAAGCTGTGACCAGGGCTACATGTGGGGCCAAAGCATGATAAGGGCCAGACTGGGATCCAGACCTGCAGTGGGTGTCAGGAGGAGGTACACCATTGGAAAAGCCACACATCTTCTTTTTCTCTTGCTAGCCAGTTGCAGCAACATCTGTGGACCTCCTCTGCCCCTCAGGTGCAAGTCAGGCTGGGGTACTCGATGATCCCTCAGAACCAGAAGGGGCACTTGATATGAGCAACTACAAGCCTTTTACCCCAACTCCTAGAATAAAAGTCCCAAACACCTACCCCAGAGCACTTACCTACTCTAGGGAGATGCGCCCCTTAGAGCAATCAGCCATGAGACACCAGAGGGGCAACATTTACATAGAGGGAGATCTGGACAGACAGGAATGCATAGTTAAGAAGGGCATGGGGAGGTGGTAGTCACAGGGATGGGAGGAAAGGAGAGTTTGTTATGGTCAGGGATGGTAATAGGGGCATGAAATCAAAAGTGCACAAACTGTTGGATGTAAAACAAATATGCTTTGTAAATTTGCACCCAGAGCACAATAAAATTTTTAAAAATGAAAATTATAGCTTGTCAAAGGGTGATAAGGACTCTAGGAAAAAGTTGAGAATAGGGTGAGAACTTGTATATGGGATGAAAGATGCAATTTTAAAGAGGAAGGTCAGGAAAGGCCTCACTGAGAAGGTGACATTTAAGCAGAGACCTGAAGAAGTGACAGGGGCAACACTCTTCCTCTAGATATCTACAAAGATATCACATTCTTCCCCCAGATATCTACAAAGATATCTGGGGGAAGAGCATTCCAGGACATGGGAACAGCAAGTACAAATGCCTTGAGTTAGAAGCACAGGTGGCTTGTAGGGGAGTAGCAAGGAGATAAGATGGCTCGGGCAGTGACCTATATCCACCCCTTACACCTTCTCACTCATCGTGAGTTGTGTTGCACATTCTAAACCCCACCTGTCCCTTCTAACACCTGTGCAAGTCCACAAACACACACACATGCACGCACTGCCATCGAATTGGATCAGACTCATAGCGACCCCTCCCTAGGTTTCTGAGGTGGTATCACTACGGAAGTAAATTGCCCAACTTTCCTTCCAAGGAGTGGCTGGTGCATACACATGGACACACTCACAGGGCACACAAGTGTAGATGCACATGGGGTGGCTACACAGGTGAGTGGAGGTTCACAGACACAACCCATGTGTATCTGTTTCACACCTGTGTGTGTGGCCCTGCCATCAGCAGATACCTCCACAGCTATGTGACCCACAGAGTCCTCTAGCAGTCAGGCCCAGCACTGAGGATAGGCATGTAGCTGTGGCCTCTAGTGCTGTGAGTAGGGTCAGCCACCCAGCCCTACCCTCTCACACACACCCCAAACCCACCCCATGTCAGGGTACCCCCTCTGCCCCTCTCTCTATGCTTCCTGCCCCCAAGCCCTCCACACCCTGGCCACAGAGAAAGTTCCAGAACTCAGCTCAGAACTGACCATGCTGCAAACCCTGGTTCCTGAAGTGGGAAACTCCCAAATCTGAGGTCCTTCATACTTCAATTCCTGCTGACCTCTCTTAACATCCCCATAGTCCCACTATTCCCAATGTAGCTTTCTCCCACTAAATATTTGTATTTCCCTCATCTGGACATCCCATTCCCTGTCTTCCTCACCTGACACATTCTCACCCCTCCTTCAATGCCCAGTTCTAAAATAAGTGTGTGGGGGCCTCTCCCTCATGCCCTCCCCTGAACCCTTGTCCCACCCATCTCATCATAAATCACTCATCAGCCTCTTGCTGCTCCAAAGCAAGGGCAGGAGCCAATTCCACAGCCAATTGGAGGCTATGCTGTGGTGGTGGTTGTTGTTAGCTGCCGTTGAGTCTTCTCTGATTCATAGCAACCTTATGCACAGCAGAACAAAACACCGCCCAGTACCATGCCAGCTCCACAATCCCTGCTATACTTGAGCCCATCACCACAGCCATTGTGTCAATCCATCTTGTTGGAGCCTTTCCCTCTTTCGTTGATCCTCCACCT